TCAATAAAAAGTGTAGTAATTAAAACTGAGCTGAGCTCTCCATTGTGCTCTTAGCTCTTACCTTTGACAGCTTTACTTATGCTTTTTCAGGATTAGCATCCTCACTTAATAACCCTGCTCATTCCCTCACTCCCATGAAGTAGGTTTTTTGCTTCCTCTTTGCCTATCTATTTAACTGAGAAGAATTTAAAATTTATATGTTAGAGCTGGTATGAACCTCTAAGATCAGTGGCTTTTAAATCTTTTGAACACAGGCCCTCATTATGCTTTTAAAAATGAAGGGCTTCAATATGAAAGTACAGAATTACTGTAAGACCCACGGCATTGCTTTTTGTTTCTGTAGATCTTTTTAGTCTGGCTGATAACTAGATATCCCCATTTCCTCTCCATTTATTTTGTTTCAATATGTTGTTTTGGTTGAAGTGCATGGACAAAAATCCAGTCTTACCCACATGGGCAATTGAAAAAAAAAATACTGTATTAAAGTAATAAAGTAATGGGATATTCTTTGGTACCACAGTAGAATTTGACAGGTGGGAGAGTCTTTTAAGTTGATTACAATGTGGAATTTGAAGGCACATCATTGAATTTCTCTTACTCTGTTAAATTTAAATCCATTAGTCTGTCTTATACTTTGAATTGACTTCTCATACATGAGTTTGTATGACATGCATTGATCACTTGGAAACTTTGTCCACTGGATTATGATACCCTTCTAAATGTCGAATACATTATCAAAAGTCACATGTGTAATTCAAGAAAATCTTTAAGCACTGAGAAACTGTCAAACTCATAGTCACAGATACAGGTTTTCTAGGTTATTGCTTAAAAACTTGAAATTTTACCACAGGCACAAAACAGTTATTTTCTCTCTCATGTCACCCTCAATTAAGTCATTTCTGAGACAATGTCTGCAAGATACCTAGATCAGAATAATTATGTATTATTAGTAGTTTTTCAGGGTAAACCAAAAACTAATACTCCATTTTATAAAGCACCAAGTTTAGTTTGCAATTTAAAGATTACACATGTGCTTTTACCAAAGATAACTATAAACCCTTTAGAGCTTTTACTAATAAAAGTAGCCAGCTGCGGGCCTTATACCATAGGTTTTGCCACCATTGCTAGCTACCATCATACTGTTGTATGTAGCAGAAGCGCTTCATGAGTAGTCTCTTTTTTGTCACATGCAGTATTTGAAAGTCATTACATTCTAGGACAAGGTTTACTAAATTTATCAATTTTTACTTTTAGGGTTTTCTGAAAGAATGTGTGTGTGGGGGTTTCTTTCCCAATACATAGTTATTTTTCTATTTGTTTTTATAGTTCACAACAATCTATACAAAATAATATTTCTTTGTCCATGTACCCTTCAAGCTAGCATCCTTTTTCTTTTCTGCCAAGCTTGTTAAACAATTGTTCACTTTTACTTTTTCTCCTGTTCTGAATCACACTGCAATCTTTAAAGTTTAGCTGGTCTTTTTAGCACTCTAACTGTCTTTTTCTCTTTTTAAAAATATTTCTAGTGACATGCTTAATCCAGTATTTACATCTTTACTTGGCAACATTTGTAATAATTATTTGCTTCTGATTTTTCCTGTGTAGAACCCAATTAATGTATTTTCTGTTCCCTCTTTTTTTATTTTTCTAATCTCCGTCAATGTCCATTGCTGACTCAGCCTTTGCAGTTTTTAAATGTTCCCAACCTTATTATCTTTGTTGTGCATGCTGTAACTTATGTCAACTGACATATTTCGGATGATTCGAATTGTTATCTCTAGTCCCAACTGTTCCTCTAAGTGCTAACCCATATATCCCACTTCTAAATTGTTGCTTCACATTTTTTGAAACTGCATTTACCATTCTGTGAAACAAGCACCCACATTATTCTCCCTTTCAGAAACCTCAAGCATTAACCAAACAATGACTTTATAGCACACTAAGTGAAAACAGTGTTCAGTAAAACAAGCAAGTTAACCTGGAAAGCAAGATGAATAATGAAAAAGTAAACTAACAGTATATTTACATGGTGAAGACTACTGATTTCTGCTGGGAGATCATAGAAGAGATAACTAGGTTTGTCAGGAAATATCTGAGGCAGGAACACGTAAAATGAGTCCTAAAAAATAAGAAAGACCACATACATGGAGAAGTGAGGAAAGATCTTTTGACCTATAGAATTACTAGCATTGAAGCCGTAAGGAAAGATCTTGGGACATCCTAATGACCTAAGATCATCATAGATAATGCAAGTAAAAGTTAACTGAAGGTCAGTTGGATTGATAAATTGCACAGTATCCTTAGATCATGAAAAGGGGTTTGAGTTTTACTCTAATTGCAATGAAAAGACACTGAAATGTTTTAAGAAGGTTGTGGGAAAAAACTTATTTATATTTCTTTTTTATTTTTTTTGTGGGGATTGAACTCAGGACCTTGTGCTTGCCATGCAAGTGCTTATTCTACTGAGCTGTCTCCCTGGCCCTTATATTTTAAACTATTCTGGCAATTATAGTGAGTAGATGGGAGTTAAGAGGGATGTGGGGAGGAACTAGGTCATCTGGTTGGGAAGTCTTAACAGTATTTTAGATGACAGATGATGCTGGTTTGAACCATAATATAAAGTGGGCTACACATGGGATATAAGGACATGGACAAGATATATTTTATAGCTTTGAACCAAGAGACCTTGTCTTAGAGTTAAACCTAGAAGACAAATAAGAATTTTTCAGAGGAAAGGTTAGCAGATGTTTCCGAGTGAAGAAACATCATTCACAAAGGGCAAGAAAGCTGAGAAAAACAGTAGTTGAAAACCTGAAAGAAACTCAGCATGCATTAAAGAAATGACAGATTTGAATGGTTGAGAGACCTACAAGGCAGATCATATAGGACTGTGTTAGGAAATTCAGACTGTGTCTGAAAGGTCTAATCTGGGCTATATTTCTGATTGATTATAACCAGTAACAGAAAGCCAGGAGTTGATGAACTTAGGGGGAAAATATACAGAATAAAAATAGCATACATCTTAATGTAGGGGAATATCAGCATTTAATGCAGGGAAATATCTACAGTACTACAGTGAAAAGAATAGAAAAGGAAAACTTGGAATAAAAAGGACCAAAATCCAAGGGACATGTGATTTTTAGGAGTGATTGTCAGCATCTCAGGTGATTTTTTTCTGGGAGTTTAAAGACTTCACAGTAGCCTGAATGAGTCTTTGATGGACTTGGGTGGGAATAAATCTGGTGTAGTCATAGGTTGGAAAAAGTTTCTATGTTGAAAAAATAAAGTAAAGTTGAATTAGTGTATATAGATGTCTAGGAAGACTTTGAGAGGACAAGAATGAGAGTGTTGGTTGGAGTGTTTGATGGCATCTCCATGGGTTTCTTGAAGCAACTTTTTCCTTTTATCATTCTTTAAAAAAAATCAATATGATCATCTGACTACTGTGATAGAATCATAGTTTGGCCCTTTGCAGATGAACCTCTTGTCATTTCCCCTCCTCCTATTTATTCTCTCTTCTATCCTACCCGTCATTTTTCCTTACCCCTACAAACCTTTCTCCTTTAATATGGATATTTTCTTTACCTGAATTTTCCTTATCTACCCTTACTTCTCTGGCTAATTCCTATTTAGTACCAGACTCACAGTCATAAGTTATGACTCAGAAAGAGTAAGTCATTCCTTTCTGTATCCACCACACTGTCTTCATCGTTCTGTTACAGCATTAATTTACTCCTTTGTTTTAGTACTGGTCTGTTTATGTATATGTCTTATATGTCTTCAGTGGGACCTTTAGCTCCTCCAGACAAGGGACTGTGATATCTATGCATGCATGTATCCTGGATAATGGACAAAATAGCTAATGCTTGTTAACTATCTGGTGGCAGAGTGACTAAATTATAATCTTTAATGAAATTTGATAGACTCCTACCTTATTGGCACTGAAAATGCAATGTAAGAGTAAAAGCACTGTGCCCGCAAGATAGCTCAGTGGATTAAGCGCCTGCTTAAGCAAGCACCGGAACCAGGGTTCGAATCCTGGCAACACATGCCACACCAGCCCCATCCCTGGGTGCACTGAGCCGACAGCCAAGTACAGGCGCGGTGGCCCATGACTGTAATCCCCGCACTTGGGAGGCTGAAGACAAGAGGATCATTCTGACTCTGAGCTACCTAGTGAGACCTTGTGCAACAAAACACATAAAAAAAAAAAAAAAAAAAAAAAAAAAAAAAAAAAAAAAAAAGAATAAGAGCACTGAGGCCTAGGAAGGAAGCACGATTTCTCCAAGCTTATGCATGTAATTCAACTCTTCTGACTTCTCACTTGGCCTTCTGAGGATCTTCTACTAACTGCTGTCAGTCACTACTGGTTGGATGATAGTTTATGTAAGATAGAGCCAATTTAAGTGTTGTTATCTTTAATGCCATTTAGTTTTTAACTTACAGAATGTGACTCAAAGATTGAAATGAAAAATGTTAGTGTGGAAAAAATCCTATAGTTGTGTTTGAATTCAGTAGACTATCTAGTTTTCTTTATAGAAAATTAAATTACCAAAAATCACATTAAGGGGTTGGGGGTGTATCTCAGTGGCAGAGCACATTTTTAAACCTCTCAGTTCCATGTACATCATGAATAAGGAATGAATGAATGAATGAATGAATGAATGAATGAATGAATGAAATGCCAGATTTACTATCCTTTTACTCAATCTACACTCTTCTAGGTGGACTATGTGTGTGGAAGTGTGGAACCTGGTGTGAATATTTGTGCACATATGTACATCTACACACTTCTTGCAGTTTTAGAAGGCACACATTGGTTCAGCAGTGTTTTTAAAAAAGTTCCTTGATTCTTCCAACAGTTAATCATCACTTCCTGATGATTTGTAAATTATTTTCCTATTGTGATAAGCGATCCTTCTCAAAGCAATGTATGTAAAAAAATTTTAGCTGCTACTTGAATTCTCTTTTTAATATTTGCTACCTGCTTTTATTTTTAGGCTTTGTGTTTAGTGAATCAGAGGGATCTGCATTAGAACAGTTGGAAGGTGGCCCCTGTGCTGTTATTGCACCTGTTCAGGTAACATAGACAACTTTTCCAACTCCTTAGAGGGACAATTCAAGTGCTTCATACTTGGCTATTGTTTTTAAATGTATGTATTTTGTATAATTGTGAGACATAGTTGTTTTTTTTTTTCATTGTGTAAGTTGCTACAAATATTTAAAATTAAAGTGGATTCAGAACATGTGTGAGTTATACTATAGTAGCATTTTGAACTATATTTTCAAAGAGAAATAGTAAGGATTCCCTCACTTTTAAGAAAATTAGTAATTACTGGTCTTGTCATCCTTTCTAAAAAAAGATTCTGTGAGTAATAATTATAGAGGTGGAGTTATAGTAATGATAGATTCCTAGCTTATTGGCATTGAAAATGCAATGTAAGAATAAGAGCACTGGGCCAACGAGATAGCTCAGTGGACTAAGTGCCTGCTTAGGCAAGCGTGGGAACCGGGGTTTGAATCCTGACAACACATGCCACACCACCCCTATCCCTGGGCACACTGAGCAGATAGCCAAGTCCAGGCATGGTGGCCTGTGACTGTAATCCCAGCACTTGGGAGGACTCCTAGTGATCCACCTGATTACAGCCTACCAAGAGCTGGGATTACAGGCATGTACCACCACACCCAGTCTCAATTGCCCTCTCAATGTGCCCCGGGGATGGGGCTGGCATGGCAGGCCCAGGAATTGACCCGCTGGCCCCCTGTGCCTGCTTGCAGGTGCTTTAATCTGCCGAGCTATTTGGCCGGCCCTTTTAAGTTTTTTAATTATATTGATATGCTATGAACTGTTCTGTCACATTATTAAAATCAAGAATTTTTCAGTTTACTGTTTTGTTTACAATGCTCAACAGTAGTATAATGGTAGAACTATTACAAAAGAAGCTATAATTTATAGTTTATATTTTAATCATATTTGAACATACATATTTAATGTGATATGTGTTATTCATTAAACATAAAAAATACACTTCTGAACATTTAGCTGAAAGTAAATTTGTCTTGTAAATGTTATAGCCCATATATTTATGTTATTAAATTGAAAATGTACTTCTGTCAGGGCACAAAGTTACCACTTGTGTTTGATTTCAAATACATACTTTACAGGTCATTATTTCTAAAGAGGAAGATTGAATTTGTTTACATTAGTAACCTTATTTAAAAATTAAGAAAAATCTGAATGTCTGAATTTTACATTAGAATTATTAAACATGAAGAGTTAAATTCAACTATAAATTAGTAATTATACCTGTTGTGCTGAATAACTGAGACAAGTTTTAGTCACCATTAAGAATCATGTTATCAATGTGAAGACTATTTGTCTTGTTCATGTGGAAATTAAATTTATAAAGACCATCCCTCATGGTCAGCGATAGGACCCTAGAGTTTTAGTAAAACTCTGTATATAAATGTCTACCACAGAAGTTTAGAATTGAATAAATTTTGAAAATGATAGTTTTACCAGTAAGGGATCAAGGCTAAGTGTTGAAAATCCTGAACCTGTCCTTCTGGACCTTTGAGGAAGTGATTTAGCTTAAGAGGCAGGTCAGATCTTTCAGTTAATAAAAGATTTCTGTTTGTATTACTGTTTTCAATTTAAATGTCAAAACTAAATCATTAAGGGGAATAAGAAATTTATGAGTATATAGAATTATATTATGAATTTCTTAGGAAAACCAAGTAGAAAATTTATATCCATTGTGATTTGTCCTTGTGCAAGTAAATATGAAAATGAGACTAGAAGGAAATATATCACAATGCCAGGGCTGGTTTTATTAGTGACAGAAAAATGCTTATATTTGTCTGACTTCCAAATTTTGTAACAATTTTACATTACTTAATTTTATTGTGGTGGTTGTTTTCGAGAAAAATCTGCAGCACTTGAGTATAATACTACAAGCTTTATTTCTATGTGACTATGATAAAATAGTTTTTTTTCAATTCTGTGAATTACTAGTTACCAGGTGCTATATTGAGTTCATTGTATTCATTATTATTTATTATTATTATTATTATGTTTCTATATTTTCAGTGAAGGGGCTACAGGATGCTCAAGGTCTCACTACTAGATCAGATTCATAGTGATTCTCCTGTTTACAGCCTCCCAAGTGTTGGGATTACAGGCGTGTGCCACCACGCCCAGTTTTCAGTTGCTGTCTCAGCGTGCCCTGGAGGCGGGGCCAGCACAGCAGTCCTGGGGTATGGAACCCGCAGCCCCTGTGCTTGCTTGCAGGTGCTGTAATCTACTGAACTATGTGGCTGGCCTTTGCATTAATTTTTTCATATGATTCTCACTGAGACCCTTTAAAATTTATAGTACTATTATTGGTAGTTAATATTGGAACCAGAATTTAATCTGAGATCTCACTCACTGAAATATTCCTCTTAATCTGTATTCTCTGTGCTTTCAGCCACTTATAGCAATCAATTTAGTGTCTTGTTTTTCTTGTGTCTGCCCTCGAGAGGTACACATTCAATCAGTGGAGCCCAGGAATCTATATTTTAAATGAATGAGTTAGGTAGACCACACTTCAAGAAGCAAATGCTGTACTGTACTGTGCTGCACTGTACAGTACTGGATTCTGTCAGACAGCTTAAGTAGCAACTGGTTGACTTGCTGAAGGGCAAGATAAGGAGTCAGTCTGTCTTTTCTTTTGAACCTTAATTGCATTATAAGCTAAGGAAGTTAGGAGCTCTTCATGATAAAAGTGATGATTCTAATAATCTTCTATCACAAGTCACAGCTAAAAGACAAGAACCACCTTTGTATCTAGATGTCTTTTACTCTAAGAAATGTAAGAGACATATAGACTTATTCCAGTTCCATAAGGCCTTCACTTTTTGAATGGAGCAGTAAGATCCTATAATTTCCAGTTATGTGTCTAAATTACTTGAGTCAGTTCTTCCATTTAAGAATGATTTTTTTTTGAGGGCGGGGTGTCTTTTTGAAACAAGGTCTTGCTGTGCAGTTCAGACTGGCCATGAGCCCACATTGTAGTCCAGGCTGGTCTCAAACTTGCAACTATCCTCAGCCTCCCGAGGGCTGGGATTACAGACATGCACCATTGAGTTCATGGTAGTACATTCTAAATAACTACTATGCGTACTGTTGAATGTGAAGAAAAAACATGAAATTTGTACAAAATTCAAATTTAAAAGATAAAGGTACATATTCATTTTTCCATTTTAAAGTAAAAGAGTGGGAAATATTTATAATGTATTCTAATCATTTCTTTAATTGTGTAAAGGCATTTCTTTTGAAGAAGCTCCTGTTTTCCTCTGAGAAGTCATCTTGGCGGGATTGCTCAGGTATAACTATAGCTGGCTTATAAAACTTTTATCTCATTTTCTATTTTACAGATACTCGATGCAACATTCATTGTTAATAGCTAATGTTCTTAAGATGAAAATATTTAATTGAATTATTAATGAGTTTTTTTCTGAGGTTCTTTTTTAAATTTTCAAAAGGTTTTATAAATTATAACTAAGTTTTAAGATGTTTATTTCCAAATTCTTTTTTTTATAATATAATTAAAGGAAATCCTTTTGACCTCTCATTAAAATGTATGCTTCCTAGAACTTTTACATGCTAGCATCTTACAAAGAATTGAAAATTATGGGAAATTTGTTTTAATTATGTCTTATCAAGAACTCACAATTATCTTTTTCTTATTGTACATTTTAATGTAATGCATTGTGTAGTGCAAATACTGCAAATCAGAATTAAATTACAAATAGAGCTATTACACTGTAACCATAAGTCAGAGATATGTGGTGTATCTCATAATACTTGCATTCCACTTGACAGTTTGCAGAGCTCTTTCCTGCATTTATACTATGTCATGTGCAGTTCAGAATAACTTTTGAAAGAAAGTAGGGTAAATCCCAATTTTGTATTTAAGGATAAAGCAGCTCCCTTTGCGAACCATGATCATAAAATCTACTAATGATTTTTAATTTAAGAGGTAAGGTAGCATACTCACATAGTTCTTTTTTTTAATTTTTTTTTTTTTTGTGGTACTGGAGATTGAACTCAGGACCCTGCACTTGCTAGGAAGGTTCTTATTCTACTGAGCTATCTCCCTGGCCCCTTCATATAATTTCTATTAGCATATAATTTACTGAAATGTGAATTTTTGTAAAGAAACTGTTCAATAGAATCTTATCAATATAACTTTATTAATGAAATATAAATTTTCACAGCTAGACATACCTTGATAAGAATCTATAAAGAGTTGTCATAAATGTGATAGGGGCGTGGTGGATGTAAATGGCACATATCATGACTTTAAAGAATTTTTAATTCATAATGAGAGACAGAAACATGCTTGTGTCCGAAAACATTGCATAGAATGTGCATACTTGTCCTGTATTAGAAAGTTTCAGGAATAGCACTACTTCTAGAGAATAACACTACCTGTACAAGGGAGGGGAACCAAAGTTCAGAGACAAACAATAATTGAGCATAGTGCCACAAGGTTATAGTTCTAACTATTCAAGAGATTCAGGCAGGAAGATCACCAGTTTGAGACCAAGCTGGACAATTTAATTTATCAAGCTTCTGTTAGCCAATGGATGGATGGATGAATAGATGGACAGATGGATGATGAACAACTTGGAATATAGCTC